TGTTATTTTCCTCTAATTGGAAAAGACCTTATGTCAGAAAATCGAAAAGTCTATACACTTGCAAAGGTTGTTATACGGAAAGCTTGTTCACAGATAAATCAAGCACATGTAATTCAAGTGCAAAATCCTATTGCGGAAAATTTATACGGTAATATGCTTGCAAATGTCTGTACTTATTTTACTTATCCTCGTGTAACAAGTATGTTCCGAGGCGAAGCTCGCGTGAATTCTAACGAGGCTAAAAAAAATAGAAAGTAATAATAGAATGACGTAAGAAATGCTTTGATCAATTTTATAAATATTTTTTTTCAAATCTGTATTTTATTTTTAAATAAATATCCTTATCTAGAGTAATCTACACATTGAATCCATATTTTTTATCATTGAAAATAAAGTACTGTAAAAGGCAAAGTGTTTGATGTTTTAATGATTTACGAGTGATCACAAATTTGACAAGTTGTTGGATACAATCGGCTCTCTATATAGTCACTCTAACTAAACACAATTTCGTTTATTAATAATTCTCTTCTCTAAGTCACATCATATAGCTTTTTTACAATCACACCAATTTTTTTTTGTCACAAGGTGTGTGAATATATTAAGGGTCAGACATCACTTATGGGGTAGGTTAACGTTCGAACGCATCAAATTTGGAACAACCATGTGATCAGGATGCTTTTTTATTCATCATTTTGCGTTTAAGATATGCTATTTTAGAAAACTCATGTTCAGATCATATGATTTACTATGTCTCGTAACCTAATTTTAATAGCTTATGACCCATATATAATATTGAGGTGATTTTTCTTTATATTACACTTATTAATTCAATCTTAATCACGAATTTATCGTGTATCGTTAAATGAATAATGAACGCTAGTTCTAGTCTTTTTTTAGTTTAGATGCTAATTTTTCAAACGCTAAAATACTGAAATAATAAATTTATATTTATATTTTTTTTTTAATCTCCCTTTAAACATTCGTTACTTAATATTTTTTTATCTTTTATTATGATTTAGTCACCTCTTTTAACATTGATAATTCGTTTCAACGTATTTAAACAAGTTTCGCTTATTTTTTAAAATCTAATTGTCCAACAGATTTATTTTTTAAAATATCATTGTAAAACATTTTCTATACTAAAATAATATCGGTTAGGGCATTTTAATTAATAAAATCAAGATTGGGATTTATAAAAAAATTGTGCAAATTTATTATTTTTCTTTGATTTTCTCGATTTCTGGGGTATCTGAACTTTATAAGTATGGCCATCTGGAAGAAAAGAAAGTTAAAATAATCCATTATCCTGTCCCTTCCAAAGAAAAACGCCATCAGGTATATTTTCTAAATGATCTTCATAATGCATGCAGATCAAGCCGAATGATTTTATAAAAATCAAAAAAAAATATTTTTCCCAAACTTCTGCAAGATTATGTAACTTTTGTTTAACAATGAAGTTTTTTTTCCCATGGACAATTTTAAGTGATGTTTTATTTTTTAACCAAATTCGGTAAGACTATTTTGTGTAATTGTCATAAAAATGAGGTGTCAAATAAAATTTGAAAATAATATCGGTTGAACGAATCATAGGCACGTGACATGCAAGACTTCAATGATTCACAAAACACCAACGAACTCTCACCAAAATATGTAAATAATGTTAATTCTAATTCTCTAATTAAACCCATACATGAAATCGGAACCCCAATAGAATACATCAAAGAAATTAATAAAGACAAAATTCAAGAATCGAATCAATATAATTTATCATATAGCAAGAATATTAAAAATCAAAAAAATGAAAATAATGTGATGGATCAAAATTATATAACTGCTCATAATTCTGAAAACGCTGATGACGAAATCAAAGGAATCAAGGAACAACAATTAAATAACGTTCAAAAGTTAGAAGATATTAATCATCATCATCTGAAAACAATACAAAAATTACAGGACAAAATCGAATCACAGGAAGTGAAATTAAAAAAATTTTCAGAAAATTTTGATCAATATTTAGAATCCTTAGAATTTAAAGAAAAAGTAATTCAAAAATTGGAAAAAGAAAGAGATGAATTAAGTACTAATAATTTACCTCGTAATTTCGAAGAAGAAATAAATCAATATAAATTACTGTACGAGAAAAAAAATAATGACTATAATAAATTAAAAGGAAAGTATAATGAGAATAACCAGAAACTAGAAAATGAAATCAAATTAATCATTGATCAAAATGTAAAAAATGTTCAAAACTTGGAAAACAATATTAGTCAACAACATCAGGCGGAAGTACAACAATTACAAGAAAATTTTAAGCAAACATTTAAACTTAAAGAAAATGAAATACAACGTTTGTTAAAAGTAATTCAAGAATTAAATCAATATAAATTATTGTACGAAACGAGAAATAACGATTATAATATATTACATGAAAAGTATAAAATGAATAAACAAAAACTCGAAAATGAAAATAAGGGAATCAATCAATATAAAATCATTGAAAATGACATCAAGGGAATAAAGGATCAACAATTAAAAGATTCCCAAAAGTTAGAAGATATCATTATTAATAATCAACAACATCAGATGAAAGTACAAAAATTCGAAGAAAATCTTGAACAATCGTTAGAACATAAAGAAAAGGAAATACAAAAATTGAAAAAAGAATTTCAGGAATTAAATCAATATAATATAGTTGAATTTGAAATCAAAGGAATTAAAGAACAACATTTAGAATACGTTCAAAAATTAGAAAATAGAATTAATGATATCAATCAACAATTTCAATTGAAGACACAAACATTCGAAATATTTCAAGATAACTTTGGACAATCTTTAGAAAATAAAGAAAAAGAAATACAAAAATTGGAAAATGAAAAGGATGAATTAGGCACTGATAATGACAACTTGCATAAAAAACTCAATGAAAAACTTCAAGATGAAATTCAAGAATTAAATCAGTATAAATTATCGTACGAGAAAAGAAATGATGATTATGAAATATTACAAGAAGAGTATAAAAAGGTTATACAAACTTTAGAAAATAGGAATATAGAAATAAATCAGCTTAAAATACTTGTTCAAAAATCAGAAAATGAAGTTGAATCAATTAATGGACAAATTCAAGAAATACATCGATATAAATTAATGTATCAGATGAGAGATAACGACTACAATAACTTACAAGAAAAGCATAGCACGACCATAATAAGCCTTGAAATTAGAAATAGAGAGATAAATCAATATAAAACGCTTGTTCAAAAATCAGAAAACGAGGTCAAATTAATCAATGAAAAAATTCAAGAATTAAATCAATATAAATCATTGTACGAGCAGAGAGATGGCGAATTAAAAGAATTACAAGAAAATTACAAGAATAATATGCAAAGGCTAGAAAATGAGATAAATCTTCATAAAATTCTTGCTGAAAAGTCAGAAAAAGCAGTCAATAGAATAAATGAACAAAATCAAGAATTAAACCAATGTAAATTATTGTACGAACAGAAAAATAACGATTACAATAAATTACAAGATATGCATAACACGACCATACAAAGCTTCGAAAATGGACAGAGAGAAATAAATCAATATAAAACGCTTGTTCAAAAATCAGAAAACGAAGTCAAATTAATCATTCAAGAATTAAATCAATATAAATCATTGTACGAGCAGAGAAATGACGAATTACAAGGTTTACAAGATAATTACAAGAGGAATATGCAAAATCTAGAAAATGAGATAAATCTTCATAAAATTCTTGCTGAAAAGTCGGAAGACGCGGTCAATAAAATCAATGAACAAGTTGTAGAATTAACTCAATATAAATTCTTGTACGAGCAAACAACCAACGAATTTCAAGAATCACAAGAAAATTACAAGATAAATATGCAACTATTAGAAAATCAAAATAAAATGCTTATTCAAAAATCAGAAAACGAAGTCAAATTTATCATTCAAGAATTAAATCAATATAAATCATTGTACGAGAAGAGAAATGACGAATTACAAAGTTTGCAAGAAAATTACAAGAAGAATATGCAAAATCTAGAAAATGAGATAAATCTTCATAAAATTCTTGCTGAAAAGTCGGAAAACGCGGTCAATATAATCAATGAACAAGTTGTAGAATTAACTAAATATAAATTCTTGTATGAGCAGACAACCAATGAATATCAAGAATCACAAGAAAATTACAAGATGAATATGCAACGATTAGAAAATCAAAATAAAATGCTTATTCAAAAATCAGAAAACGAAGTCAAATTAATCAATCAAGAATTAAATCAATATAAATCGTTGTACGAGAAGAAAAATGACGAATTAAAAGGATTACAAGAAAATTACAAGAATAATATGCAAAGACTAGAAAGTGAGATAAATCTTCATAAAATTCTTGCTGAAAAGTCGGAAAACACAGTCAATAGAATAAATGAACAAAATCAAGAATTAAACCAATGTAAATTATTGTACGAACAGAAAAATAACGATTACAATAAATTACAAGAAATGCATAACACAACCATACAAAGCTTCGAAAATGGACAGAGAGAAATAAATCAATATAAAACGCTTGTTCAACAATTAGAAAATGAAGTCAAATTAATAATTCAAGAATTAAATCAATATAAATCATTGTACGAGCAGAGAAATGACGAATTACAAGAAAAATACAAGAATAATATGGAAAGACTAGAAAATGATAAAAATATTTATAAAAAGCTTGCTGAAAAGTCGGAAAACGCGGTCAATGTAATCAATGAACAAGTTGTAGAATTAACTCAATATAAATTCTTGTACGAGCAAACAACCAACGAATTTCAAGAATCACAAGAAAATTACAAGATGAAATTGCAACGACTAGACAATCAAAATAAAATGCTTGTTCAAAAATCAGAAAACGAAGTCAAGTTAATCAATCAAGAATTAAATCAATATAAATCGTTGTACGAGAAGAGAAATGACGAATTAAAAGGATTACAAGAAAATTACAAGAATAATATGGAAAGACTAGAAAATGATGAAAATATTTATAAAAAGCTTGCTGAAAAGTCGGAAAACGCGGTCAATGTAATCAATGAACAAGTCGTAGAATTAACTCAATATAAATTCTTGTACGAGCAAACAACCAACGAATTTCAAGAATCACAAGAAAATTACAAAATGAATATGCAACGATTAGAAAATCAAAATAAAATGCTTACTGAAAAGAAAGAAAAAGAAATCGAAAACATCAAGGAACAACATTTAAAGAAAGTACGAAAATTACAGATCGAAATCGATTCGCAAGAAAGAGAGATACAACAATTTGAAAAAGAAACGATTAAATTACAGCCAAAAATCAATGAATTAGAGGAACAAATTAATAACCTTATTAAAAAAAATACTTTATTGGAAG